CAATAACCAGAGACAGTTCTCGAGTGCCAGGAAGAAAAGGTCAAATTCTTGACAACTGGGGCATTTGCTCAAGATGAACCACAGTTGGAATTGAAGCAACCCTGTTTGCTAAACTTTATTAACATAAAAAAACATTTGTGATATTTCACGATGATGAGACTGGGATTTTCTTCAAAGTAAAATGAGGTGGGGTTGAAGCACAGGTGAAGGTACAGATAAAACAAAAGTGACCATTGGTAGATACTTGTTGATGCCGGGTAACAGCACTTTGGAAGTTCGTGATACAGTTTACTTTGGTATATTTGAAGTTTTCTTTAATAATAACTTTGAAATGAGAGAGATAATAATTTTAATCTAACACATTGTGATATTTCAACCTTGAAGTAGTAGGTTAAGGTTGAAATATGTTGCCAAGATATGCTTGCTTGAGTAAACTATAGCAATCACAAAAGAGTCCTTACGAACATTGTCACATGGGAATGATCTCATCTCATTCCTCTTTTCGAGAATGGAGGTGAGCCCCTGTCAGCTTGGCATTGGGAGTGGCGGGCTGATTTCCGAAGCTGGCCATAAGGATGCCGCCCTCTGCCATGTTCTTCATACCATCTCTCCTCCTCCTGAGAGATGGGGACTGTGCGCCCTCTTGCATCTAGGAGTGTTGGTGACTTCAGAAGTGACACCCTCAGAAGCTACATTTAAAAAGGCAACAGAGCCCTGACTGGTGTGGTTCTGCTGGTGGAGCGTCATCCCGCAGAGCGAAAGGTCACTGGTTCAATTCCTGCTCAGGGCACATGCCTGGGTGGCAGGGTTGGTCCCAGCTGGGGCATGTGCAAGAGGCAGCTGATCAGTGTTTCCCTCTCCCAGCCGTGTTTCTGTTGTTGCTCTTGAAACCCAACATTCTGCAGCTACACGGAGCACCGCCCTTCCCGTATGGTGCGCCACCTGACCGCCCCTGCTGAGGCCCCAGCTGCTTGCCAGCAGGGCCTCCAGGCATGTGAGCCAGCAGACTCCCCGTGATTACGACCTCGGTCCTCAAGCCACGCCCACCCAGCTGAGGCCACAGGCACTGAGAAGCAGGGACAAGCCTTTCCCGTTGCCCCCTTTCTGAAGTCTCACCACAGAACTGTGAGCAGAGCAAAATACTTGTTCTTGCAGCTGAGTTTGGGTAGATTTGTTACACAGTGGTAGTAACTGCTGCATATGTTATTGAGGGAGAAAACAGAGTATCTTGATAAAAGAGAGAAGGGTCTTATTTCTCAGTGATCTGTTTCCATCTCTTTCCATAACATGCCCCAAAGACGCATATAGTCTTAGTGACTGTGGCTTAGTGGTAGTCACAGTTTTTACGGTTTTCATGAACATGGTGACCTCCAAATCAGAAGGTGTATTAAGAACCATCGTATTTCCCTGAATAAAGTAGTTTGAGGCTAGGCCATCAAGTTCATCCCTTTGTTCTTCTCACTCCACCCTTCCTCTTCATCAGGACTTCCTTCTGCTGGACCCCATGGCTCCCGGCCTCCTCCCCAAAACTGGTAGTAGTTGAATTCGAAGCGGAGAAGGGGGCAGCCTGACCCAGAGACTAGACGCAGAAGGAGGGGGCCAAGGAGCCTTTCTCGGTCCATCTGACCGGAATTCCCGTGTCTCTGTTGTGCGGACAACACCTTTATTGCTGCCTACGTGGCCAGTGTTCCCTCTGTCTGATTCCATCATGGTTTTCTGCTTCACCTTGGGCCATGAAAAAAATTCCAGTATTTTTTTTCCTGTGACGAACAATAAAAACTCGTCCAGTGCTTCTTCTGTGGGTTTATATGATGGTTCTAGTAAGATGCCTTTCCTACTCTGTGCACAGATGTTTTTCCCAGCGGATGTCAGAACACCTGCTAGCTTTAACTCTGGAATGGTCCATTTCTCAGGCGCAATCGTGGCCCTCAAGGGTTTGCTGTATTTTTTATTCTATATTTTATGCCTTAAATATTCCATACTGTTCCTACATGACAGTAATTAGTAATTACTGTGTGCATTTGTCATGGATATTGTGTGACATCCATCAGTGTCATAATAATGGAATTTTCCAATAGTCTATTCTGTTTTCAAACATAGGATAGGTCCTTACTTAGTGGACAGTTTTACAAGCTGCTTCTTATTTGTGTGATATTTTTTACTTGAGAATGCATTTAATTTAAGAACTGCTTCTTAACAGTGATGGTAGTCTGTCTTTAGGAGATGAAATTAATATTTGCTTTGATATACATTTCGTGGGATGTTCTGGGGGAAAAAAAGAACCACTGGAAACATCACAATACCAGTGCTCCTGTTTAACATTTCCGGTTCCTGATAAAACAGACATTCTGCATGGAAACATTCACTGGGTCCATTATTTTAAAGGGAGGAGTTTTAATACATTAAACATCGACGCACACCCCCCCCCCCACCAGTTTCCTCTAAAGTAGCTACAGCACAGCGAAACATTTACTGTCGGCGACAAAGTAACACATGAAGTTGAATCGTTTGGAATGTTCCTTTCTGATCTGTTCAGACATTGAATGGGGTTGTTAACGAGCACCTGCTTCTTGTGTAGGAACAGGTACATTTTGTGTAACAGACCAAGATGTTATGTTTGTGATACCAAGTGACAAAGGATGCACTCAATAAATACAATTTATTGTAAGAAATGCAGATAACAATATGCAATACTAGCAGAAAATGTCCTATCGTGGCCTATTGCCTAGTGAGGTAGAGACTTAGAGTTTAAGGAAGCATTGAGAGCTGAAGAGGGGGAGAGAGTTGAGTCAGGCTTTTCTTTTTCCTTTTCTTTTTGATTGTTTTGGAAGGACTTCTACTGAAGTTGGGAGTTAAAGGGGCGATTCGAGGGAAAATTTCAGGGGAACTAATAGATTTCTAGCATCATCACTCTTAAGGCTTTCATACCGACTCCTGAACCAGGACGATTTAGGATGAAAAAATTGCAAAATAAACCTTTGTTTATTTTGTTAACCACCTGCTGTTTACGTTGCTGAGTTTCTTCACGCAGGGCTAAGTGGTGAGCTATTGGGGCATCGTCATTGGACGGGACACCAGGAACCTCAGAAACGCATGTCCCTTTTGTTATTATATCTGAATCTGAATCGTATCAGTGGGACTTGGAATGCAGCCCAAACATTTCCATACATTGTCTTGTAAAAACAGTGTGTCAGGTTTGAGACAGAAATACAAATTTGTCTGTAATGAACAAAGGTGGCGATAAAAACCATGATACTAATGAGAGAGAAGTTCTGTGGATGGGTTCACACCACTCTTTTTCATAATAAATAAGGCCCTTGGACTAGGGGTCGGTGGGTTGCCAGTCCATTAAAACACTTTTCTCTTTCAGTCTCATCCAGAAACCATCCTGTTCTCGGGTTGACTCAGCCCAGCACATTCACTTTGTAGCCTGTGTTGGTCCTGGATTCCTGTTAGCTATTCGCGGTTACGAATTTACTCTGAGTTATGCCCATTTGACTATTTGACTGCTGAGTTTTGAAAACATTGATCTTGCTTCGAAATCATGCTAATGATGAAGTGGGCAGCTTTAGTGAATTGAACATTCGATGGCGAGTGAGAATTCATACTTGAGACGGCCTGCTCCTGTTTCCTGCCCGTCGGCCGAGGCTCACGGAGCAGCCGTCCTGTAGCGCACACCTGCAGTCCCGAAGAACTGAGCAGTCGTTAGCACAGCTCAGAGTGAATCTGATGTGTCAACCTTGTGTATTGTCAGTGAAAGTCCTAAAACTGCCCATTGTCTTGCTTGTGACTCGCTGACCAGGCGGGGACCACCCCTGGGCGGTGGAGCACACTCTGGTGAGGACCTGCCTCCACCTCAGCACCCAGGTAGAGTCCGATTGTTTCCCCACGGAGGAAAAACACCAGCGTGGTGCTCTGTTCACTAGTGTCACTGGTATTTACCTGTGGTGGATTCTGTCACTTGTAATAGTGCAGTTCTCGTGCTGTGCTGCCAACAATTATTTTATATATTATTTTCATCACAGGTAACCTTTCATGAAAGGGTTTATTTCTCCTTTTTTTTTTCTTTTAAAGGGAGACAGTTTTTTGGGTTTTTTTTAACTGTAGAATTAGAGTACCATCTCTCCTGCATGGCTTTATCCCTGACCCTGTTGGATTCCTCTGCTACTGCTTCTGACTTAGTGATGTTCAGTGTAGTACTGATAATGTTTTGTGTTTATTTTAACAACTAACTGGATACTGAGAGTTGTTTTTGTTTGTTTTTAAATTTTCATCCAGGCTAATGCGTTTGTACTGTAGGAGCCTGATGATTTTTAGGGCTGTGAGATAATACCAAGTTAACTTTTCACTTCTCTAAAGACACTAACAACTAGCCCTACATTTCTAAATGCCTTGACATGGTTTAGCACTTTAAAATCAGGCTGGTGTAGGTCAGTGGATTGAGCCCAGGCTGTGAATCAAAGGGTCGCCGGTTCAATTTCCAGTCAGGGCACATGCAGGTTGTGGGCCAGGTCTTTAGTTTGGGGGCACGTTAGAGGCAACCACACATTGATATTGCTCTCTCTTTTTCCTTCCCTTCCCCTCTCTCTAAAGATAAATAAATGAAATCTTTAAAAAAATCAGACGGGACTCTGTTGTTGAAAAAGACCCTGAACCCCAGATAAGTCACTGTACATTCGGGGTCCTACTGAGAGTTTGGTCACACCTAGAGAATTCTTTCACTGTTACCTGTCAGTATTCCTTAGCTAGATCGTGCTCATAAAATTGTCAGCCACGTCCAGTGGCAGAGTTTAGAAACATTTCCATTTTATTTCAGAGGCTAGAGCTCTCGTTTTAAAAATACTTGCACTTTTCCAGAAAATCTGTTTATCCCCGCCATCTCCTCCCCCTGTACCCTCATGTTTCCCGAATCCCCCCATCTCCTGTTACATGTCTGTTTGTCTTTCTGGTGTGTGCCCCGTTTGGAAGCCTCAGTAAAAGCGGCATCTGTTCTGTTCTAGGAGAAACCCGACGCCAGCCCCACCGCCCTTCAGCTGCGGTCCCAGGTCGAAGTAAGCATGACGCCTTTAATCATCTGTGTTCGCTCCTGCCCCTCCTTCTGGTTTACGGGATACCCCGTGCACGTCGGCGGAGCCGGCTGTGTGCCGCCTGTGCTGACGCTGTGAACTCTCTCTCTCCTAGGAGTCGCTTGGTTTCTGTAGCGCCGCGTCAACGCCAGAAGTGGAGAGAAAGTAAGTGTCCCTGCCCAGGGTTAGAGACGCCGTGGGGGTGCCTTTTAGGTCTGTGTCGACGGGTGGTCCTGTTGTGTGTGTTCTGTGGCGCCTGAGGTCAGTTCCCTCACATTGTGTGTGTGTGTGTGCGTGTGTGTGTGCGTGTGTGTGCGGTGTGTGTATGTACGGGGGGGGCGGCAAAAGTAGGTTTTGAGGGATCCACTTTCATGGGTCGTTGGCTAAAGTACCAGCCATCATTACCTAAAAAATTGGTCATAGGTCAGGATATGAAATACTAATATGAAGAGAAATGATACAAGTAAATAATAAAAAATAAATAATAATACAAGAATAAGCTGTATTTGTGTACTCACAACTGGAAACCTACTTTTGCCTGCCCCTGTATGTATATAGGTAGATCGCAGAGTGTGTTTTTAATTGTAATTCAGTTGGTGGTGCCTCACAGTGCTGTGGAGAGGTATTGACTTCACACTGCTTACTGTGAGCGAACTCTAAGTAAATGCCTGGGGAAAGGTTTTTACTGGGAAAAGGGAAAGGACGTGTAAGTCAACCCAAATGGGTTTCTTCTTTGACATTCTTAGTTTTGGATATACGATGAAAGTCATAAAGAAGCAAGGTACACAGTGAAAATACATCCCGGGACAGAACAGTCACTGAAACATCGTCCCCTGCATTTTGATTGGGTGGGTGACCTTAACACAGGCATAAACGCTTTTGACAGAGACGGCAAATGCTCATCAACCTTCAAGGTCATAGTTTTGCTTCCTTGTCCTAACTTGGAGCCTGTAATTTTTACTCTCTTGGAAGATAATTCTATGTTATATGTTGTATTTCTAGTATTTCTTTTAGGCAACTTTATAAAACAAAACATGTTTTTTTTTCCCCTTTAACCTTTTTCTTTTCTCCTTTATTACATTATAATTATGCTAGAAGGTTCTATTTATGATCTCCCGAGGTAAAGAAATTTTGAGAAAGCCCACATGTTTGAACAGACACACCCCTTGGCACAGGGCCACACATGCTGTTTCATGCCAAGAGAGACACAGAAGCGGTTTAGGAGCGAGGTATTTCTGGAATGAAAAGCACACGTTGGGAGAGCGTGTGTGTACTTTGCAGCACGGCTCTGCCTAATCCGTCCACGTGTGTGAGCTGCGCGCTGGGAGCTGCTCCGAGGAGGGGAGGCCGTTTGGCCAAAGCTCCCATCTCCGTGGAATAAGTTCAGGAGATTTGGTTCAGGACCGAAGAATACTGGGGGTGGGGGGGAGGGGGGTGAGCAACAGAAAGCCAAAGCTACTGCCCACTCAGGGCTAGAGGGTCGATGTGCAGTCAACACGAATTTCCTTTGTTTTAGTTGCATATATTCTCCCCGCAACTTAGTCATATAGGGGCTGAAGTAGCCAAGAGATTAGACTTGACATTGATGTAGAAACTAGAGGCACTGTGGTGATGTTGAACTGGGAGTGGGCAGAAGTACTGAGTGAAGGGGCCGTGGGTTCGTCCGACCTGTGTGCCACCTGCATGGCATGTCTCGGGCTGAGCACTCAGGTGTTCTCTCGGTTTCTGAATCCTTCGGGAAATAAAGTTGTTTGTCTTTTCTCTTGAGGGGAAGTGACTCACCAAATTTGTACTAATCTTAGGCTAGGCATTTCTTCTTCCCCTTAATTACGGGTCGTCATTCTTTCCGTGTGTATAGACTTCACTTAGTGAAATGTGGCCTGACTCTTGTGGTCAAGGGAGAGAACGCCAGCCTCCGCCGAGGGTAACAACAACAAAAAATTGAAACCATATATACGCGCAACCCCAGCTTCTTCATCTGTAATGCTGCCATTTTGTTTTTGTTCTTTTAGATAGTCAAACTTAGGTGTTTAAGTAAATGGAAGGTTTTTAATACATGTTGTCCTTTGTTTTCTTATTAATAGACTTGAAAATTGTGGGTTTTTTTTCCTGCTATAAAGGACTTTTGAAAAAGATGTTAAATTCCAGAAAATTCGCATTTGTGCAGTGAGTGGACTTCCACGTAAGCTTTACTGAAACTCACCAGGTTGCACACCCCTGCTCTCTTTCTCTCTTCCATGAATCACTAACTATTCTTGCTGAACTATTTGAGAATAAATTGCAGACATCACAGCGCACACCCCTGAACAGTTCAGCATGTATCTCTTAAGGGCAAGTATATTCTCTTACAGAACCACAGTATAATTAACAAGTAAGAGGGATTTTAATACTGACTTTCCCAATATACACTTTATATTCGAGTTTCTTTAATTGTCCCAGCAATGTTTCTTACAGCACTTTTCTCCCCAATCCCACACTGTTTTTCTATTTATTTTTTAAGATTTTAATTATTTTTATTTTTAGAGAGAAGGGAAGAGAGGGAGAAAGAAAGGGAGAGGCACATCAATGTGAGACACACAGATCAGACGCACCCTGACCGGGGACTGAACCTGCAACCCGGGCAGGTCCCCTGCCTGGGAGTCGAACCCCTGACCTTTTGCTCTGCAGGGCGATGCCCAACCGAATCACACCAGTCAGGGCCCAATCCAACGCTTAAAAAGAAATCATTCATAGCATTTACATGTCATGTCCCTTGTCACATTTAGTCTGAAAGGATTTCTTGGTTTTTCTTTCCTCTTTATGATACTGATATTTTTCAAGAGTGTAGGCTAGGTGTTTGGTGAAATACTCCTCAATGGTGATATTAATTCCAGTCACTTGATTAAGGTGATGTCTGTTGGGTTTCTGAGAAGTCACAATTTCCCCTTTGCAATGAAAAAATACTGTGTGTGAGAGATCATTTGATGAGAATTGTTCCTCATCGAACTTTTACCTGATGGTCTCAGGTTCCTTTAATGATTCTTGCCTGAATCAGCTTTTACTGGGACTTGGAGAATGGTGATACTTATTCTTAAATTGGTAATTATTTTGGATTAAACCTCCCAAGAAGGTTTTTTCTGAAAAGATCGAGGTGCCGCTCTGGGCACTCTAGGCCAGATTATAACTGGAGTGGGTGGCGTACAGTGTTAACGCTGAGTGACTTGTTTCTGTGTCCTTGAGAATGCAAATACTTTGAAAGGCAAAGTCCTGCTGTTCTTCAGATCACAATGCTGGCTGGTAGCTGTTCAAGCCCTGGAGGGATGACCTGCCAACCAAAATAACCTTCCCAGGCAACATTGTTTTAGGGGCAGGCGTTTTTTCTGCTTTTTATTTGAAAGGCCAGAGAGCTCTGTGAACGTAAGTGGACAAATCCCACGGCAGCTGGCCCGCAGACGCAGTCCATTGCCATAGACAACGTGGGGGTCGTGCCCTTGGCTCTGTGTACTCCCCATCCCCCCCCCCCCCGCCCCCTGCCCCCTGCCCAGTTGTCTCGGGCCTGGGCACATCTTGCTTCTTTCCTCCTGCCCAGTAAAAACCTGCTTCAGGCAGGAATCAGGCATTAATTATGATGCAAATATCTGATGTCTAAAAACAAAACCAGACAATCTCTTGCCTAGGAATATTTAGCACTTCATAGGTTTAAACTTTTAAATGACGGGAATACGGGTCTGACTAAAGAGACGGAAGGGTGGGCCTTTGGTAGGGGAGACAGACTGCGAGAGAAGTCCAGCGACCTCACTGCACCTGGATACCTGCCTGGTGCGGCTGCTAGGTTCTGTTTGGCTGGGGGATGTGGGTGATAGGTAGGTAGGTAGTTAGGTAGATAGATAATCTGGTACCTCCACATGCTTTCACTGAAAATATAAAAAGACCAAGGGAGCTTTCATTTGAACTTCTTCTATTTCTATCTATGTGTATCAGTTGTTGATGAGGTTACCTACTTTATTATACTGATCTTGGGTTTGCGTCAACTGGCTGAAGGGTGAACGTCATCAAATATCTTGTCACCAGTTAGTTTTGCTTGGAAATGTTTTTGCAACTGTATCTATTAGGAATGAGTTAGCTACAAACAACATAAAGCGTGACAAATAGCAGCATAAACAAATCCAACCTTTGTTAGGTACATCCTTGTTCCAAGGTTGGCATGGGGCCCAGACTGTTGTGTTTTTTTTTTTGGAGGGGGGGTGACTGTAAATGTGTGACACCTCCTGTTTTAAAGTGGCTGCTGCATCTTCCAGGTGGGAAGGAGAGAGAAACAGGGTGAAGGGGGAAAGATCAAAGGGCAAAAGGCCACAGGTACATTTGAGAAAAGCTTTCCGAGAACCCCTGTGCAGCTCGGCACTGTGTCCCACCCCCTCCCTCCTGCAGCACCTGCCCCGCGGGCCCTGGCTTTGTGTCCGGGACCGGTGCTGGGATCTGGGACCTTGTGATGAAGCACAGAAGTGAGCCGAGCGTAGGGAGATGGAATAGAAACGATTCATATGTTTTAAATGCTGCTTTGGAGAAAAATAAAGCCAAGAAAGGGGACCCAGAGTCGGGGCACTTGGCCACCATAGCCAGAAGGGAGTTTGGAGAAGTGAGTTCTGAGCTGAGTGTATGGCTGCCCAGAACAAAGTGGGCTTCTTAGGAAGGAGGGAGGACAGAGAACATGTAGGAAACTAGCGGTACTTCCCGTGGTAATTTACTCTCTTATTTGTATAAAAACAGGGCAGTCTGAAAATTAGCTAGTTGTCTAACACAGGGGCTCTGTGTCGGGACTATTTAATTCATTACGTCTGGGGAGGCCACTGTGGGGGAGCTCACCGCTTTTTCTAGGTGTTTCTAGATGCAAGTAGACTTAATGGGGTCGGTTCTTACGGACTGAAAGCCAGAAAAGGGAGAGCAGGAAACAGGAGATGAGGTTTATTGGGTGCTTACGATGGGCCAGGAACCTATCTCAGCACTACCGCTGGCCCGTGCAAGCCTCATGGGGCCGTTGTGAGGTTTGATAGGATATCATCCTTCCCATCCACGGAAGCAGAAACTGAGGCACCGAGAGGCTAGGAAGTTGCCCAAGGCCGCACAGCTAAAAAGTGGCAGAGCCCAGATTCGATCCCAATTGGGAACCCTTGCTCCTAACCACTGAG